GCTACTGCTCTGGAACACTTAGGCTGGCCGGCATGTGTCCTTCTTCGTTCCTGTGTCTGTCCCTTCGGGGAAATGTCACGCTTTGAGTACCGGAGTCCTGTTAGCCCGCTACAGCCCGGTTTACCGGAGTCCTGCTAGCCCAGTGCTACAGCCCGGACCCACTTGCTGATGACCGACACGTTCGAAGCTGGGTCATGGATGCCTGTCCCTGTAAGTCTGTGCCACTTCGGGTTTACGACTAGTCATGTCAGCCCGGGCTCTTTATCATATGGATGCTAGCGACACTATCATATACGTGAGCCAAAAGGCGCAAACGGTCCCGGGCAAAGGTAAGGCGACACCCGTGGGAATACCGTGCGTGAGGCCGCAAAGTGATATGAAGTGTTACCGGCTAGATCGATGTGACATCGAGTCGGGGTCCTGACAGTTCCACATACGGCGGCTCAGGACGACGACTTAGCAGGGTCGGCGGCTCAGAGCGGCCACGTGAAAATCAAAGTTGCCTCGAAAATTTGATTACGTCCCTTTGATTGCTCAATGACGCGGGGACTAAATTCCTGTTGGCCTCTTGCATATCGGCAGATTGCCCGACGACGGCGATAGACAAGTTGTAACCCTAATTTTCTTGAACCTTAAACCTCATAGATCTAAAATCTGGACTGATCCACTTGAAGTTGATGCAAACCCTTCCAAACCGGCTCATTCGAAAAATTGCAAACTTCTCGATCCCTGAAAAGATCCCTCCAAGAACTCAACACCACCGTGCGCGGGCCCCGCGGTGGGCGCCAACTGTCATGGAATTAACACGGCAGATGTCCTTAGTGTCAGGACTTAGTCGCGAGGCTAACGCATCTATGCGGTAGCTTGAGAGGGGTTGATCGGGACGAGAGACGCAACACGCAAGACAAGGATTTAGACAACTTCGGGCCCCGGGAAACATCATCCGGAATAGCCCTACATGCTGTTTGAGGCTAGGTCTCACTATGCTCATGAGGGAGTCGCCGTAAACCGGCTCTCCTCTAGTTGTGTCTAGCCCTAGAGATTGTTTCTTGTTGCTTCTTTGGGGAGCCCTGCCCCTCCTTATATAAGTTAGAGGGGCGGGTTACATGTGAAGTCCAAATAGGATTGGACTAGCCTATCTTCTACTACAAGCCGGATACAAGTCCGGGTCTTGATTCCTTGTGAGGGAGATATTCCTCACGCCTTTCCTCTTAAGCCGGCCTACCATAACGTAAGCCGGCCTTCTGGGCCTTGAGCCTCCTGGGCCCCCAGCTCTTGTCGCTCCTCTGATCCGCTTGCCAGGTCATCGATAAGTCGCCAGGCTCGGGCGGGTCACTTAGTGAGTCGTCCAGTCAGGGCGGGTCATTGGTTTGTCAGTTACACCGCGGGGTATATCCCCGATACTTACCATTCTATGGATTTTCCAGTAACAAACTTATTAATGTATATACTTGAGTGATCATTTATGGAACTGACAAACTGTTTCCCTGTGCTCGGTTACCCCTTACTTTTGCTTTATTTATTCAGTCTTCCGAATGATAACCGAGCAGCAGGTTGGTTTGTTAGTATCTCCAGTGAAGGGGACTGCCAACTGGGCTTGGTTCCAGGCCTCACCATTTTGGGATGCCTCCCTGAGAAACTTGTTTTTTCGATCCCTACCTTGAAAAACTTAACGTTGTCGAGAAAAATAATTATTTAAAATATTTAGCATATCATAAGTTTTGAGAAGTTTGCAGAACTAATGCTTTGGTAACAAGAGACTTAACGTCTGTCCGTGTAGGGTTATAATGGCAGCCAACTTTGGGACACAACTTTCACTGTTCAAGCCATTGTAGCTGCCAATCTTATTGAAGAGTTTGGTCCTACCTTAAACTAGCACATGAATACATTAAGAATTCACAGGTACATGCTCCTTTTTTTTATCAACTATAGGTGAATATTTGGCCAATTTCCGTACTTATAAATGGCAATTTTTGTATGAAAGGTTCTTGATGACTCTCCTGGAGAGCAGAAAGACTGGTACCGGCACATATCTAAAGGTGCATGGTCATACTCTACGGCTGATCATGGTTGGCCTATATCGGACTGCACTGCAGAAGGACTAAAGGTGAATTTTGTCCAAACATTACTTATAAGGGTTATCCTAACTCAATATTTCGCTCCCGTTTGGTAGTGAATCGGTTTCTCAAGGAAACAGTTTCTAGTTTTTGAAAAACTAAGAAACCCTTTTTCTGGTCTCTGGATAGAAATCAAGAAATGTTCCTAATTCTATCTTAAGAAATTGTTTTTGATTGGTGTGATTTCTTGGTTTCTCTCTAGAAACTGGAACCATAATGTGACATCCTGGCTTAATAGGAATGATAGGCTACTTATATCAACAAGGTGCACCTTCTTTTTCGGAAGCCCATCTTCAAAGAACTTCAAAGTTAAGCATGTTTGGCTTGAAGCAATTTGAGGATGGGTGACCGACTGGAAAGTTGATCCCAGGTGCGCACGATGGAGGACAAAGTGCGCAGAAAAAATTAGTGTTGGTCTGTGGGGTCAGTCTAGATTCCACCAGGCCTAATGGTCAGGGACCGGTGGTTATGGCCGGAGCGTTACACATAAACCTCGCAAACATGCCTGAGAGGAAAACCGAAACTGTATACAAGCAAATAAAAAAAAAATAACTTCAAATGAAAGCTATACCGAAACATGGGAGGAGGAAAAGGTATAGAAGACAATCGAGCGAAGACAACAAAAAACAGGTTTCAGACTTTGTTTGATTCTATTAGTTTGCATGAGGAGATAATCACCTAATCCTCTTTTCCATGCCTGAAAATTAGGTTATCTATTTCCAAAAATACATATTTCTTTGCTTCCACATTTTCCATGCTGCAATATGAAGACTTCCATGAAGAACGAGAGCTGCTTGTCCCTTATAGCTGTTTACATCATGCTAAAAGAGTTAATCCTGAAGTCACTCAAAAAAAATCCTGAAGTAGTTTTAATACTTTTGCTGTTTTTTTCGATAAAGGCAATATATTAATATCAAGTAGATACTAATTATACCCAGCCTTTGCAATAATGTAATGTCAAGAGCTGAGTCTAGACATTAAGGATGCACACAGCCAAAAAAAAAGAAAAAAGGCCATGTCGAGATAGAAAACACCTTGTAGCAGGAACATCCACCACCAATGGCAACACCTGGACTTTGAAAAGGTTCTCCAAAGATGATGCCTCCGTGAAGAGAACAGTGCACTAGCACCGTCGTCGCCCAATCTTGAGTTTTCACTCCGGAGAAAGACAACGCAATCTCAGAACCAGGACAATTCTCCCGCTAAACCTTGTGTGACAACTTTGAGTTGATTTGGACCATTCCAATTCCTACACGAAGCTCCTGGAATGGAACTCGCCCTAGTTCCTTTTGTAGGATGTCTATGACCTGGTCCTTCGTGCCCAAAAAGTCAACATTGATGCTTGTACAATACCTTCTTGAGGCATAGAACTTGCCTTCTTCTTCGGCGACGACGAATCTGGGAGCCTAAATCACATATACCACATCCTTGAGCATGCCGTTGAGGAACGCTGGCTTAAGTTCATGTGATGGATGGACCACCCCTCCTAGGCAGCCAGGCGAGCAGCAGTCGCACGCATCTTGTTCGAGATGCGTGCCAGGCGCGAGCACTTAGTCAAAGTCAATGCCAGCCTGCTGCATGTATCCCTTGGCGACGTGGCATGCTTTTTGCTTGATCACCGCGCCCACCTCTTTCTTCTTCAGCTTGAAGACCCAGTTCAGCCCAATCAGCCGATTGGTCAACGAGCTCCCAAGTGCGATTCTTCTCGATTGAGTTCATCTCCTCACTCGATGCCAACCAAGCATCATCGTAGGACTCCTTCGCGTAAGAGATTAGCTCGCCAGCACATGCCAAGTGAAGTTTGCTGTCGTCCAACATTAGCGGTGCATGGCCTGTACGAGTTGCATCTCCTAGAATGTTGTTGACGATAGCGGACTAGCGTGTTGGCGCGGTGCGGGTCGAGATAGTCTTCATCATTCAGCGGTGCCTACACAAACTCTGGTGCTGCTGCAGGTGAAGGGGCGTTGAGAGGTATCAAAGGTTGGGGCGTAGGGGATGCTACTGTACCGATAGGAGGTGGAGATCCCCGCAGGTACCTCTTCGTTCACTGCCTATGTGATGATGAATTCGCAGGTTGGAGCAGCAAGTGCCGGCTTCTGCCGCCCAATCCCAGTTGGCGCCCTTGTCGAAGATGGCGTCACGGGTCAAATGCACACGCACGCATGGTAACCCTTGATGTTGTCGTCATAGACGATGAAGACCATGGCAGTGATGTGGTCATTGAGGTTCTGTAGGTTAGGGCGCACGTCATTCAAGTACACCACACCTGAAGGAGAAAATGTAGTGAGTCGCCGTCTTGCGGCCGTGCCAAGCCTCAAAGGGTGTCTTCCCGGTAGGACTCTTTGTGGGTGCACGGTTGAGAAGGTACACCACCGTGTTTACTTCCTCCCCCCATAACTCAGCTGGAAGACAACTCTGCTTGAGCGTGAAGTGGCGACCACGTATGGTTTCGGAGCTTTACAATCCCACTTTTTAGGGTGAGTATAGCACGGAGAAGTGCCGCTGGACTCCACTCTCTTCGCAGTAGCGTGCGAACTTTGCCAAGGTGAATTTGTCATCATTGTCCGTGCGGAAGACGTGCAACTATTGCCTAGACCTGTTTTCTACGGCCGCCTTGATCTACATGGTGGTAGCTAATGTGTCGCTCTTCGTGGCTGGGAGAATCACCCACAGGAAGCTAGTGGTATTGTTAACCAACAATAGAAAGAAGCGCTGCCCTCCTGGTGTCACCGGCATGATAGTGCTGCAAATGTCATTGTGGACAAGGTCGACGTGATCATTGACACGGAAGTTCGCTTGTTTGGGGAAGGACGAACAGCAACGATGCTTAATAGTGATGCAAACGTGAAACGTCATATAACTATCCAACGTGCTCTAGCTCTAGCAAGCCATAGACTGTGTCCTGGCGCGCCCTGCGGCGCAGCGCCTCGAAGTTTAGGCGGCCGAAGTGGTCATGCCAAAGCCATGCATCGCCATTGTGGTGAGCAGGTAGATTAAACGAGCCAAGTGGAGGTGCATCATGTACAGGCGATTGACGCCTCGACTGATCGAGCCATGAGGCAGCGCTGTTGATCCTAGATGAAAAGTAGCCCATCCTCGATTAGCACCTTGGAGCTGCTCTCGTCCAGTTGCTCGACGGAGATGATAGAGTTCTTCAAGCACGGGATCTAGTACACCCCGGTGAGCCTTGTGTTCTCCCTGCATCGCCCCGCACCCTTAGATGCTGACAATTGATCCATCTCCAAACCAGACGGACCCGTGATAACTAAGTCAAGCTCAGAGAAGATGTCTGGTCGGCCCATCATGTGGTTTGTCGCGCCGATGTTGAGGTACCAACCCTCCAGGCGTTGGGCATCATCAATGGTCCAAGGAACACCCGAGCATCGGTCGTCGAGGTGAACTTGGCTTTGCGAAGGCTTTGGCGTGATGGAGAGCGCACAATCTTGTGCCATGATCAGCGTAGGGCGTGATGGAGAGCACACAATCCTATGCCATGAGCAGAGTAGGCACTGTGGACGTCGTCTTTCTCCTTGGCCAGATTGACCTACTCACGCTTGGGCTGGCGGCAGTCCTTGGCCCAGTTGCTATAGTGGCCACAATTTAGGCACCATCCTTCAAATTGTTGCCTCCACCACCTCCCTTATTCCTTGGTTGATAGCCATAGCCACCGCTCTTGGTGGCCTTAGGACCTCCTTCCTTGGCCTGATGCTCCTTGCAGCGTGCAAGCCACTGCTCCTCTGCGAGCCGCAACATGCCATGCCTCAGTGTAGACCGATCCTTTGTCACCTTTAGTCCTCCAACCACCTCTTCGATGGACTGCGTCGAGAGGTTGAGAAGAGTCTCGATAGCTATAGCAATCTGCGTGTATTTGGAAGGAACAACATGCAGAAATTTCCCTACTACTTTCGACTCGATCGTTTCTCCGAGCGTGCCGATAGGCGATAGGGTGATGAGATGAGAGTGAGAGGCGCGACTGAGAGGTGCAGCGCGAAGTCATCGATGGTTTCTCGTCGCAGAACAAGATCGACTTGAACTCCTTCAGCTGCTGCGCCTCGGCCTTCTGGACATAATCGCCACTGACGCCCATCACCTTTATCGCGTCCCAACTCCCAAGCCTCCTTGGCACTCGCCTTGATAGCAAGCTTTGGCATCATGTCCACAGGTACAGCATGGAGGATGGCCTCCAGTGCCATGCGAGTCTTCTTGGAAGTCCGCATTGCCGAGCTCCACCATGTCCCATAGACCATGAGCCTTTAGCATGACTTTCATGAGCAGGCTCATGTCGCCATAGTTCATCCGCGTGAGCGCCGGGTACTTGGCCAACCCACCAACCTACTTGATCACCCGCTTGACTCGCACCTCACAGCCATCGACGTCTCGGTGCAAACCACGGAGCGGATGCGGTGATATGGAGCGACGGCGGTTGCGCCTTAGAGACTCATAGACGGACCTCTTAGTGGAACAAGCATGTCTCCAGGAGCTTTGGCACATGCTCTGAATACCAAATGTTAGAAAAACACACAGGCTTATTTTTGACGCTCTGCACAAACGGTGGATATTGGGGCTGCTTGAGCTGGAGGCCTGGAGCTTGCTGGTGTTCTACTCCTCTATTTATAGGAAAGGATTACAAGGCAGAAGCGCTAGTGGCTTGTTTGCTAAGCTAAAGACTTGATTTAGACTTGGGACTTGCATCCTAAGGAAACTTTTTACATCACAAGGGGAAGCTATCAGGAAGCTTACACAAGGTTTATGCTAACAT